GGAAAACAACCCTCAAAACCACAAAAGACCAATGTAGAGACAGAAGTATTTAAAGGAAATTAAATGTGTGGTTAAAAATAATTCTCAAAAGTATAAATAGATTTAATTGTAGTATTAAAATCAACAACTACAACAACAGAGAGCAAAAATCAAGTAAAAATTTAAAAAACTAATAGCAACTACAAAATAAGTTAAAATATAAGAATAATAAATATTTTTCTTGGATCAGCTGTCAGCATCCTTTTCCTCAATGTGAGTCACAGTCCACTTCCCCTCTCTAGGATGCCCTCCAATTCTGGGCTGGTCTCTTACCTGTTGTGGTGGCAGCTCAGGCTGTTATCAGGAGGTATGTGACTATTAGGGATTTTTCTAGCTACTGACACCTTTGCCCAGTGAAGACTGAGCATGGAGGTGACACAGCTGCTTGAATTATGGTAACCCTGGAAGTGCCAAGCATGCAGGGAAACCAACAGACTCAGCTGCAGGGAGCTATGGTCTTATTAGAGTCTTTTCCTAGGTTCTGGCACCTGGCCAACAGAGGGCCTCTTTGGCTGGTCCTTCTCTGTTGCTTGACTCCTTCAGGCGCTTACAGGCCCCCCTGTTGGGGTCATGCTCTGTTGTTCATCGCATCAGGGACTTAAATATTATCCTGGTTAGGGTCCTTCTGTGTTGCTTTGCATGTCAGGTCCTTAAAGGGCCACCCTCCCTGCTTTGTTTCCGCAGTCTGGTGCTGATATGTGCAGAGAGAGAAGGTCAGAGATGGCCTCATCCTCTGTGTGTGACTCAGCAGTATCACCCTGCCTCCAGGTTAGCTGGCTTTCCTTCATAAGCATTTCCCACTGCACTCTCCTCTCTCAGGTTTCCTCAGGCCATTTCCCTTCAGTCAACAGCAGACCTTGCCCTGGGACTGCTTTCCAATCTCTATGTTCCAGCTCCAAGCTGCAGCACTTTCTAAGGGACTTGCATCCCTGACTGGGGTATGTGTGGCTGTGGCAAGGATCCTCTGTGTGATCCTCATTCCACTCAGACTCTCACAGATCAGCTGTTTCACCCTCCAGCAGCCTCAATGCTTCACCTCTGTCACAAATATCTGCCCTCCCATGCAGCTCTGTCCCTGCTTCAGTTCCCCAACCCCAGGTGCAGATCCAGTTCTACTCACTCTTCTCGTTTTTGCCCTCCTTCTTTTGTCCTACTGAGTGTTGCATGGTTCTATAAATCTTTTTCCGGTGGTCAGGTTCTCAGCTGGTGTTCCGCAAGATCTTCTGTGTCTGGAGGTGTATTCCTGACGTTTCCGTGGAGAGAGATGTACTCCACGTGTACCTACTCTTCCGCCATACTGGATCTCAGTGTATGGTATAGAGCCCACACCTCCCTCCAAGTCAGGTTTGCTGTGGATTGTTGTCCAATTTCTGTTGTTGGGTCAGGATAAAAACCAATGGATATCTTGTTCTTCTCATTTGAACATACTTCTCACTTGATTGTTTTTCTTGACTCACTGTATGGATATCTGTGCATTAGTCTAAACATCCACTTGTCTGGATGTTTCTCAGACTGGCCTGAGAAGTAGAACTTTCCCAGAATTGAGCCTTTTCAATCAGCCTGGCAAGAATTTTGGGTGTCTCTCTAACCTCTCTGCTTGTCCAAGCTTCTGTGTTTGTAGTCAGCCTCCTCCAGGAGTCTAGAGTATGCAGTGATCTACAAGGGAGAATACTTGGTGGAGCAGGCAATTGGAGTTTATCACCTCGCTCACTCTGCCCTGAACTGGGGAGAGGAGCTGTGGCAAATGCCTGCATGCTGCTTCACACCCTGTGCCTTCTGAACCATGATTTAGCTCTCTGTAGTCCGGAGGCACCATGCAAATTTTGGCTATCATCAGCTCTCAGGGACAGGTTAGTTAGAAGCCAGTTCCTCAGGCAGAGCTGGAAAAGCACAAGATCCAGATGTGCCGTCTGACTCCTTCCATGGAGAAACTCGGAGTTGCTCACTCTGCATTAAGCTAGGCGAAGACCTGTGAGAAATGCTGGTACAGATTCATAACTGCCACTTCATTTCTGTGATACCAGGAGATTGGAAATGCTAGGCCTCCCAGAGGCAAGCTAATTGGAAGCTGGACCCTGGACTAGCATTTGCAAAATCAAAGACCAAGATTGTGGATCAAACTCTTTCCTCCTCCAGGAGAAGCTGGGAGTTGAGTGTTCCCTTCAAACTGTATGGTCCTGTGCTGGATGGATTTTATTGCGGGAATGTGTCTTCGTTTTCCCTGCTGCTTAGGATTTTGGCATTTTCTCACTTACCTTGAATGCAGAACTTCTCATCTACTGCTTCTATTTTGAATAAAAGGATCTGATTCACACATAGCTGTTAATTCAGTGTGTCTGTGGAGAGAAGGGGAGGTCACGGTGGCCTATTCCACTCTCTTACTAATACCCCTGCATTGTTCCCAAGTTATATGTGTTGGGCTTGTTTGCTTTTCTGTTTTCAATTTTAATTAAAAGCAATTATTGGACCGGAGCCGCTGCCGCCAAGTCCGGATCCCACGCCGCGCGCCTCCGACGCCCGCCCGTTCGACGGTCACTCCCGATTCCTTTAGGTTCTAAGTCCAAGATGGCAACTCTCAAGGATCAACTGATTCAGAATCTTCTTAAGGAAGAACATGTCCCCCAGAATAAGATTACAGTTGTTGGGGTTGGTGCTGTTGGCATGGCCTGTGCCATCAGTATCTTAATGAAGGACTTGGCAGATGAAATTGCTCTTGTTGATGTCATGGAAGATAAACTGAAGGGAGAGATGATGGATCTCCAACATGGCAGCCTTTTCCTTAGAACACCAAAAATTGTCTCTGGCAAAGACTATAATGTGACAGCAAATTCCAGGCTGGTTATTATCACAGCTGGGGCACGTCAGCAAGAGGGAGAGAGCCGTCTTAATTTGGTCCAGCGTAACGTGAACATCTTTAAATTCATCATTCCTAATATTGTAAAATACAGCCCAAATTGCAAGTTGCTTGTTGTTTCCAATCCAGTCGATATCTTGACCTATGTGGCTTGGAAGATAAGCGGCTTTCCCAAAAACCGTGTTATTGGAAGTGGTTGCAATCTGGATTCAGCTCGGTTCCGTTATCTCATGGGGGAGAGGCTGGGAGTTCACCCATTAAGCTGCCATGGGTGGATCCTTGGGGAGCATGACGACTCTAGTGTGCCTGTATGGAGTGGAGTGAATGTTGCTGGTGTCTCCCTGAAGAATTTACACCCTGAATTAGGCACTGATGCAGATAAGGAACAGTGGAAAGCGGTTCACAAACAGGTGGTTGACAGTGCTTATGAGGTGATCAAACTGAAAGGCTACACATCCTGGGCCATTGGACTGTCAGTGGCCGATTTGGCCGAAAGTATAATGAAGAATCTTAGGCGGGTGCATCCGATTTCTACCATGATTAAGGGTCTCTATGGAATAAAAGAGGATGTCTTCCTTAGTGTTCCTTGCATCTTGGGACAGAATGGAATCTCAGATGTTGTGAAAGTGACTCTGACTCATGAGGAAGAGGCCTGTTTGAAGAAGAGTGCAGATACACTTTGGGGGATCCAGAAAGAACTGCAGTTTTAAAGTCTTCTAATGTATCCCTTCACTGTCTAGGCTACACAGGATTTTAGTTGGAGGTTGTAACTCATACTGTCCTTTATATCTGATCTGTGATTAAAACAGTAATGTTAAGACAGCCTAGGGAAAAATCAATTTCCTAATGTTAGAAATAGGAATGGTTCATAAAACCTTGCAGCTGTATCCTGATGCTGGATGGCACTTACCTTGTGTGGTCCTAAACTGGTTTGTCAAATAATTCAGCTTCCTCAAGAGGTACCACTGCCCATGTTGCAGATGCTGCAGTTGCCCTTCAAACCAGATGTGTATTTACTGTGTTATATAACCTCTGGTTCCTTTAGCCAAGGTGCCTAGTCCAACTTTTTCCCTCCAGTGAATCACATCCTGGGATCCAATGTATAAATCCAGTATTGCATGCCACGTGCATAACTGTTCTAAAGAATCTTATGTACTGTATGAATCAGAATAGTGTACACTGCCTTGTAATGTAAAAGGGAAAAATTACATAAATAATGCCGCCAACTAAGTGTTACACCAACTAAATAAATAAAGCTTGAACAGTGAAAAAAAAAAAAAGCAATTATTGATTTTCAGTATTCATCATTACTATTATTGCTATGTAATTATAAAATTCCCCTCAGCACACTTTTGTGTCATCTCATAAATCAAATAAAACTTTACTTATCCTGGTTTTATTTTCATTCAATTCAAAATATTCAAACTTTTCTCTTTTGATATCTTCTTTATCCATGTAGTACTAAAAAAATTAGCTGAATTCTATGAAGATATCTAGTAGGTGACAAAATTGTACTTTTCCAGGTTTAGTTATTCATGGTTTGAAGGATCATCTTTTTGTCCTTAGTAGAATGAATGCATGTATCGATCTTTGGTATCTTCACTGAACTCCATGTACTGAGATGGCTTTAAGCACCCAGTCTTGATGACAATATTTCAAATTCTCAGAGACAACGGCTGGGGTCACTGTGGTGGAAGATTCTGTGATTGTCACCTGATCTGTGTTCCAGGTTGTGTAAGAGATCCAGACTAGACAATACTTTAAACAAATCCCAGGAAAGGGAACCCATTGCTAATAGATTTCTGACATGCTGTGGGATTCCAGATCCTTTAGACAAACAGATTTCTAATAATTTCCTAGAAGGGATTCAGAGTCTTTTAATCTTGCTTTGTTCTAGCAAATAGAAATCAAGTGTTTTGGTTTAATATCTTTGGAAACTCATAGCTTTTTTTTTTTTTCTCTCTTACACAGGACCTTAAATAATTAGAATTTTTCTTGGTTTATAGTCATAAACGACTCCCCTTTTTTGTATCATTACCTTATTTGGGTCCTTATGAAATGTGTATCAAATATATGCTTACCTTTTCTTTATGCTTTCTCCCTTTAGAAACATGTTCAAAATATGATGTAAGAATTGAGAATGGATTTTTGTCTGAGTCTGCCTTTACGTATCCGCTAAATAAGCAAACAGAATATAAGTGTAAACCAGGATATGTAACAGCAGATGGTAAGACATCAGGATTAATTACATGTCTGCAAAATGGATGGTCAGCTCAACCTGTATGCATTAGTAAGTAATTCATTATCTTATTATTCTTTATCCTGATGATAACTATACAGAAGTACTCTTTAACTTTGTTCTTTTATCCTTTTTTCTTTCTTTTTTTTTGCTGGCGCAGGGTCATATGAAGTGTTTTGTGGTTCCATGGCTGTATTTGAAAAGATTAATTACAAAGCTTTGGAAAATTTATCTTTTTTTTTGCCTTTAATGATTAATCACTAATGGAGTAGAATATCACTGTACTATTTAGTTCAACGTTTTGTCACTTTAAAACATTCTGTGACTAAAATCTAATTTTTCTAAGAGCCTTACCTCTATTCCGGGATAAATTTATTTACTTTCACCTGAGACCTTTATGCTGATTGCATCTGCTTTTATTTTAGGTGACTCAAGCCAGAGTCTCTGCTCCTAAGCCTAAAAGTTATGTTGTTAAGCAAAGATGTGAGGCCATGGTGCATAAGCTTCAAATGATATGATATATAATTCATGTTTGAATCTCTAGGATAGATATCCTTGTGAAAAATTCTCTGTTAGGAAATCTTCATAAACATCTAGTTAGTGGAGACAGAGAAACAGTTCTAGATAGGACCAAATTCTCCTGTGCTGAAGGTTTTCCCTGTAGCACCACATAGATATTTATGAAGATTTTCTAAGAACAATTCATGAGTTTGTCTTATTCATCCCAAAGGTACACAGTGATATTTTTGAAGTGATATTTTACATATTCACTTTAAGTGAAGTGGGTATTTATAATATCCATTTCTACTGCTTTCATTTTATTTTTTTCCAGTGTCTATACTTGCTACAGGCACTACACCCTCAAAATGAAAAAAGTTGCACATATCGAACTAATTTTATTTTAATATATGACAATTTTCCATTCTAACACTCTTTTTATGAAAAAGTCTCTAGTATTATATTTTACTAGTATAATTTTGGTTTAACACATTATGAAATTTGAAGTAAATTATTTAAATTATTAACATCAGTCTATGGTGTTAGTGAAAACAGATTGTTTATAACATATTTTCTTGTAATTAGCTATCGATAATAGAACTATGTCTGTATTCAACCTTGATAAATATAAAAGAATATACAACCACTAGAAATATAGTTGGAAAAGGAAAATCAGCATGTGAATTTAAAAAATTTTATAGCATCTTTAAAAATTAACTTTCTTTTTGAAAATTACTTTTTTCAATTAAGTTTTCTCTTGCAAATATGTCACAACTGCTAATAAAGTTGGCATATTAATTCAGAAAATGCTGTTATGAAAATAGTATAATACTTCTGTAATGGCTTATTTTTATACTAGCTTTGGAAAAAATGCATAAGCATAGCAACTGAGGAACATGTTCATAAAGTAAATAATTCAGGAACATTAAGTGTTGAGAAAAATGTTGCATAGAAATACACATTTTTTCACTTTGAGTAATTATTGCAGGACAGTGGTATATTGCTGGTATTCTTGGATTATTTTTAATGATTAGTGCATACTAATTGGTGAAACCCTTTTCTGTTGAGATGAAAATCAATCAAATTGCCCACTAAATAATATTAGAAATGAAATCGCAATCCCATTATCCCTTAGAATCCTGTGACAGGCCAATATTTGAGAAGGCCAGAGCCAAAAGTGATGGCACGTGGTTCAGGGTGAACGACAGGCTGGACTATGAATGTCTTGATGGGTATGAGAACCGAGACGGACACACCGCAGGCTCCATAGTGTGTGGTCAAGACGGCTGGTCCGATAAAGCTGCATGCTACGGTAAGTTCTCTTTTCCAGATGTTCTTTCCTTCAAGATAAACAAAATTTAGCAGTAATTGTCAGAAGTGTTTTATTTTTACCAAATTATGCTGATCTAGAGTCATCTTTAAGGAATGATGCTTCCTTCTACTTTAATGTAAACTAGAAGGAGGGGAAGTTTTAAAGTCCAACGACACACTCAATATCAGAATGACAGGGTCTTGCAACCTGTTCAAGTATTTTGCTCCTGTGTTTCTGTTTATACCTCCTACCTTGTTAACTTCCGCAGGTTTTGACAGGTGCTTTTTATTTTCTGACTTTGACAAGTTCTGAGGACAGAGACGTGGATCTCTTTTATTTTGCCAATCAGATGTGTTTTTTCCAGGGTTGGAAACAGGGCTTCAGTCTCTGGTAAGCTGAGTGGAGGTTGAGTGTCCCAAGTCAAGGGAAGAATTATGTGCAAACTTTGGCAGCAAAGTAATATTTGGAAAATATCAAGGTGGGCAGATTCTACTCAATGAGAGGATTTTATGAGCTGAAGCTAATATGAGGCAAAGGAAAGATGATCTGGGTTATTTCAAGGCATATTAACATTTATTGATTTCATGATTCATGAAAAGGCATAGGGAATTTTAAGAAAAGGAATGATATAATTTTATTTGGATTTTTGAAAGCTGTTTGTGGATTTTTCTGTATGCTGTGCTTATGATGGACAAGAGAAGATTCAGGAAACCATGTGGGGTGAAAAAGTGTGGGGATTAGATAAATTCTTGGCTGAAGTAATGCAGAGCAGAGAATAGATTTGGGATATATTTTCCTTGTAATAAATGCTGGTAACATTGCTAAATGTTGGTTGTCAGAAAGAGCAAAAGGTGAAGGGACTCATGTTTTGAATACCATTTTCTCATAAACAAGCAAGCAAATGGAAATGACTTTGTATGTGATACTGGCAGGAGAAAGGACACTCTCACAAGAGCATCACAACTTTGACCTGAACCCATGTGGTTGGGCCAATGGGGACCATAAACATTGGATACAAAAACTGCAGTGTTGAATGCATAGGTTTAGCCAGGAGATATACACTCTGTAAATTATCACTCTGTGTAAATTATCACAGAGATTATCACTCTGTAAATAATGACATCAGACTGGGAAAGGATGTAGAATGAAAATAGAAGAGAGCTCAAGACTGAGTCCTGAAGCTTCCAACACTGAGGTGTCTGACAGAGGAGGAATAGCGATAGCAAAGTGGACGGAAAAAAAAAAGAGGACCTAGAGAATTTAGGGGAAAAAAATGTCAGAATGAATGTTGCATAGATTGGACGGAAGAAAATGATTTAAGAACAATGAATAATAACTTGACTAATAGTAATTCCTATGGAATCAGCCTGAAATGGTTCTGTATCCAATTCCACCATTTGCTAAGTATGAATCTAAGGGCAACAACCTATTTGAAGCTTGGTTCACTCCTCTGAATCTGTAAAATGATTTAATATTTAGAAATGTTCTAATATTTCAAAAGATCTTTTAGTTATTAAAATAACATTCATATAAACTTCTTGTCATAATGCCTGCCATTCAGTTTACTCAAGGAAATTGTAAACTAACTACATTAGAATAGTTACACTAATGAATACTTCTAATTCAGTTAATAAGTCAGGTTAAAAGACTAAAAATGTGGTGGATTTGGCTACATGGAAGCCAACAATAATTGTGAGAGAGAGTTTCAGATGGAGTAGACAGGGAAAAGCCCACTTACAACCTGCTAAATAAATTATTAGTAAGAAATGCAATATAGCATGTGGACATAACTCTGAAAAGGCTTGGTTGTGGCAGAGAACAAGAGGTTCAGGATAGACACACAAGATTTCAGATAGACACACAGGGTGAGCTTGTTATAGAAACAGGCCAGGCTTGTTCAACACTGTCCAGAGCCCAGGTAATTTCACTTTTTAGGCTGTCAGCAAGAACCTAATATGTGCCAGAAGTTGGCTAAGAGTTCAGTTCAGTTCAGTTCAGTCGCTCAGTTGTGTCCAACTCTTTGCAACACCATGAATCGCAGCACGTCATGCCTCCCTGTCCATCACAAATTCCCAAAGTTTACTCAAACTCATGCCCATCGAGTCGGTGATGCCGTCCAGCCATCTCATCCTCTGTCATCCCCTTCTCCTCCTGCCCCCAATCCCTCCCAGCATCAGGGTCTTTTCCAACGAGTCAACTCTTTGCATGAGGTGACCAAAGTTTTGGAGTTTCAGCTTCAGCATCAGTCCTTCCAATGAACACCCAGGACTGATCTCCTTCAGGATGGACTGGTTGGATCTCCTTTCAGTCCAAGGGACTCTCAAGAGTCTTCTCCAACACCACAGTTCAAAAGCATCAATTTTTCGGCGCTCAGCTTTCTTCACAGTCCAACTCTCACATCCATACATGACCACTGGAAAAACCATAGCCTTGACTAGATGGACCTTTGTTGGCAAAGTATTGCTATTTTTAATATTTTTAATATGCTATCTATGTAGGTCATAACTTTCCTTCCAAGGAGTAAGCGTCTTTTAATTTCATGGTTGCAGTCACCATCTGCAGTGATTTTGGAGCCTCCAAAAATAAAGTCTGCCACTGTTTCCACTGTCTCCCCATCTATTTCCCATGAAGTGATGGGACCAGATGCCATGATCTTAGTTTTCTGAATGTTAAGCTTTAAGCCAACTTTTTCACTCTCCTCTTTCACTTTCATCAAGAGGCTTTTTAGTTCCTCTTCACTTTCTGCTGTAGGGTGGTGTCATCTGCATATCTGAGGTTATTGATATTTCTCCCGGAAATCTTGATTCCAGCTTGTGCTTCTTCCAGCCCAGCATTTCTCATGATGTACTCTGCATATAAGTTAAATAAGCAGGGTGACAATATATAACCTTGATGTACTCCTTTTCCTATTGGAGCCAGTCTGTTGTTCCATGTCCAGTTCTAACTGTTGCTTCCTGACCTGCATACAGGTTTCTCAAGAGGCAGGTCAGGTGGTCTGGTATTCCCATCTCTTTCAGAATTTTCCACAGTTTATTGTGATCCACACAGTCGAAGGCTTTGGCATAGTCAATAAAGCAGAAATAGATGTTTTTCTGGAACTCTCTTGCTTTTTCGATGATCCAGCTGATATTGGCAATTTGATCTCTGGTTCCTCTGCCTTTTCTAAACCCAGCCTGAACATCTGGAAGTTCTCGGTTCACGTATTGCTGAAGACTGTCTTGGAGAATTTTGAGCATTACTTTACTAGCGTGTGAGATGAGTGTAATTGTGCGGTAGTTTGAGCATTCTTTGGGATTGCCTTTCTTAGGGATTGGAATGAAAACTGACCTTTTCCAGTCCTGTGGCCACTGCTGAGTTTTCCAAAGTTGCTGGCATATTGAGTGCAGCACTTTCACATCATCATCTTTCAGGATTTGAAATAGCTCAACTGGAATTTCATCACATCCACTAGCTTTGTTTGTAGTGATGCTTTCTAAGGCCCACCTGACTTCAGATTCCAGGATGTCTGGCTCTAGGTGAGTGATCACACCATTGTGATTATCTGGGTCATGAAGATCTTTTTTATACAGTTCTTCTGTGTATTCTTGCCACCTCTTCTTAATATCTTCTGCTTCTGTTAGGTGCATACCATTTCTGCCCTTTATTGAGCCCATTTTTGCATGAAATGTTCCCTTGGTATCTCCAATTTTCTTGAAGACATCTCTAGTCTTTCCCAGTCTGTTGTTTTCCTCTATTTCTTTGCACTGGTCGCTGAGGAAGTCTTTCTTATCTCTCCTGGCTATTCTTTGGAACTCTGCATTCAGATGGGAGTATCTTTCCTTGTCTCCTTTGCTTTTTGCTTCTCTCCTTTTCACAGCTATTTGTAAGGCCTCCTCAGACAACCATTTTGCCTTTTTGCATTTCTTTTCCCTGGGGATGGTCTTGATCCCTGTCTCCTGTTGTGAAGAATACAGTGGGGGATGGTGGTATGCCTTTCAAGAGCTTTCATGCCAGTATGGAAAAAAAAAAAAAAGATGAATTAAGGCAAAGAATGAACCAAAAAGTAAAAATACTTCTATTATATTGTCCCAGTAAGTGTATTCTAAGAACAAAAGAATCCAAGCACTTAGAAAAGAGAAGGGACCGAGGGTCAAGTTTATGTAGGAAGATGTCTATGCAAACGAAGCCTGGAAGCCATTAAACAGCAGAGACACGCGCCTTTGCAGCAGCCGAGGCAGCAAAGAAATTGGCTTATCTTTAAAAAGATCGGATGGTAAGAATCTGCCTGCGATGCAGGAGACTTGGGTTCGATCCCTGGGTCAGGAAGATCTCTTGGAGGAGGGAATGGCAACCCACTGCAGTATTCTTGCCTGAAGAATTCCATGGGATTTTGGCGAGCTGCAGTCCAGCCGATCACAGAGATAGACATGACTGAGTTATTAACAATTCTAAGTTAAGGGAAAGGCTTTTGAGATGATCATGGCTTCCCTACAGTCAATCAATGTGACGACAGCAGTTGGAAAACAGCCTAATGTCAAGATCTTTTTGTTGTTGTTAAAGCAGCATTTTACACAGTATGATAAAATAGGAATTTTACATAAGACAAGCACAAAATATGTAAACAAAGTCACATACCATTAAAATTATTGCTATGTGGAAGTTTGGAATAGAATTTTAGGTAAGGAATACCAATGGTTCTCATCAAGAGTAACCTCTCATCTAAGCTACACAACTCAACATTAAAACAAAAGCAGAAACAAAGTTATGGATTTTGGGGGGAGGGGGCATTACTTTTAAAACTAGTTAGCTTATATATAATTTTATGGTAATGCTTGAAGAATTTTAGATAGTATGATCCTTCTTCTTGGTGAGATTCTAATTCTTAAATTCCAATTTTGAAGTTTGTAAATTATTTAGCAATAGGAAGTTTCCAAATAAGAATAATGCAATTTTTGATAATATGTAGCAATCTCTGGTGGCTCAGATGGTAAAGAATCTGCCTGCAATGCAGGAGACCTGAGTGTGATCCCTGGGTTAGGATGATCCCCTAGAGAAGGGAATGACTACCCACTCTGGTATTCTTGCCTTGAGAATTCCATGGACAGAGGAGCCTGGCCAGCTACACTCCATGGGATCACAAAGAGTCAGACACAACTGAGCGACTAATCCACGCACAGCAATGTCACAAATTTCATAGATTTTACACATTTTCAATGATAAGTTTACACATTTTTAAAATGAATCAGAATAATCAAACATATATTAATGGTTAAGATCATTTATAGATACAATAAGTTTAGATGTTTGTGTTGTCATATACATAATCAAGACACCTAGAATATGCCTATGTGACCTTGAACATGTTTACTCATTTTGTTTCATGTTTCAATTTGATTTCTACACTTGTAGATAAAATTAAGTGATTTTTATTGTACCTGTAACTCAAATGCAAGAGAAATGTCTCTCTTGCGTGTTCTAGTTTCCCTGTTATATTTTTTAAAATACCATTTTTTAATTTATATTCAATTTTAAAGTTGTGGTTTTTTTATTCTGAGAGAATATTTATACATTTTGAGACCAAAAATGTAGCATTATATTTTGTAAATGTCAGTGATAAAATCAGATTCAGTATTAACAAGTTGTCTTTACAAATAAATTATCAGGATGTATATGTTGCTGTTCAATACCTTAATATTTCTCAAAAGTCCCAGATTGTATATGAAACCTAATATGTAATTTTTTTTAAGGAAGAGCGTTATTAATGTGCTGTCCCTCTGTGTATGTAGTACCCAGCACCTCATTTTATGTGACACAAATATTTATTTTGCAGTGATTAAATATTCTCACTCAATTATTTATCTTTTTCAATAGAAAGAGAATGCAGTATTCCCGAAATGGATACATACTTAAATGCTTATCCCAGGAAAGAAACATTTAAAGTTGGAGATGTGCTGAAATTCTCCTGCAGTCATGGCCGTATTATGGTTGGAGCAGATTCAGTTCAGTGCTACCACTTTGGATGGTCCCCTAAACTTCCAACGTGTAAAGGTAAATATTTATCTGATAGTTGTTGGAGCAAGAGTTGGGATTTCATATATCAACCTTTTTATTTCCCTCTCTTAATTTTCTGTCCACTTCCAGTGCATCTATAATCTAATGCATTAAGCCAGAGATATACCCACCAAGGTGGAGAAGGAAATGGCAACCCACTCCAGTATTCTTGCCTGGAGAATCCCAGACAGAGGAGCCTGGTGGGCTGCCGTTTATGGGGTCGCACAGAGTCAGACATGACTGAAGCGACTTAGCAACAGCAAACCCACCAAGGACATGTGCTGGGTAGTAGATACCTCAGTTTTCTTTATTTAAGAAATTAACCTCCAGGTGCTTCTTGAAATCTGTGGTGGAGAATCCACAGAAATGCATGAGGAACCTGACACTGGTGGGATTTCTTGTTTGTTTTCCTTTTTCCTGCAATTCTACCATTTATATTGGATAGTTTATATACTGTGGGCTTTACCTCTAGTGTCCTCAAGTATGTCTAAAGAGTGTTAAAGTAACTTAAAGTCAGTTTGATCACACGTATCAAATCACATGAATCAAAGTTAAACTGTTCAAATGCTTCTCTCAAATGATATTTTTTTCAAAAAGTTTTCATGCAGTGTTTCTGTGGAATAAAAGTATTGCTATAATTTATACACCCAGACTGAGTAATTGGCTTGCATATCTATTAGCATGTCTGGATAATGATCATGCTTTCTGAGAAACACAGACTTCAATATGCTAATTCAAGATGAGTAATAGAATTGGTAAACATGAGTCTGGTGTAAACACTATTCCTTTTTCATTGTTTAAGAATGCTGAAGTATATAATATAATAAACAAAAGATCATTTAGCGAAATAATTTCTGCATTAGCTGGATTTTTCAGTGATAAAACAAACAATGTAACCATAATTTACACAATATTTCTACAGAAGGGAAAGTAAAACCGTGTGCTCCACCTCCTCAACTTCTCAATGGGGAAGGGAAAGAAATACACAAAGAAGAGTATGCACACAATGAGGTCGTGGAATATGCTTGCAACCCCAGATTTCTGATGAAGGGTTCTCATAAAATTCAATGTGTTGATGGAGAATGGACAGCTTTACCTGTGTGTATTGGTAATGTATTAAAATTAGTAATATTTAAAGGTAAATCAGTACTTTTATTTGTATCCATATACACATTTAAATAAAATTTTAAAGACAAACATATTTTTGTGGATTTTCAGAGGAGGAGCATACCTGTGGAGATATACCTGACATTGATCACGGCGATGCCAAGCCTTCTGTCCCTCCTTATCACCGTGGAGACTCAGTAGAGTTCAGTTGCAGAGAAGCATTTACAATGATTGGACCCAGATTTATCACGTGTATTAGTGGAGAGTGGACCCAACCTCCTCAGTGCATTGGTCAGAATATACATCTCAAATTGACATTTAGTATTTGCAGGCATTCTGTTGAAATTTAGAGTTATCCTTGAAAATGTCAGATCTTAAATTATAATGATCCCAAACATTTGACTTTTATACTTCAATATGTGTCTAAAGAGGAAATATATAAACTAGCAATAGAATTTTATGCATCTTTCTGTCCTGATGTTAACATTGTTTATCTTGATAAATGTGAAGCTAAATCTTACTGATAGGTACTCATGTGATTAAAATGTGAGTACTAGTTACCAGGAAAATACAACTGTCATTGCAGAAATGCCATTTTTGCTTTTATATGGTACTATTTCTTTTAGAACATTTGAAACCAAGAATTAGAGTTGAGGGAATAACCTTTTGATACATTTCTGTAGGAATCTTGCCTCTCTCAAAGCTTCTAATAATGATAATTTCTCAGTCTGTTTCAAATTCTGCAAAGATAAGTTTCTGTGATGCTTAGGGTGGGCTCAATCCCGCCCTGTTAGTAGGTAACTCTGTCATGGGAGGCACTTTGGGTGGGGCCACAAAGCTGCCCTGACACATTTCCCTGTAAGAAACTCATCCTGACCTTTGGATGACTGAGTCTTTGATGACTGACCAGGAGAATCAATCTTAGCTGCCTTCTTTCATTTTTTCTCTTGGAATAGACTCTTCCCTGGAGTTTTCCTGGGCTCTGCATTCAAAGAGAGCCCTGGGTGTCCAGGCCTATTAACTCCATTATATTTCTAGTCATTAATTATTCCAAGAAGAAGGTAGGGCTTAGGCTCAGGCTCTGAATGAGGGCAGGGACAGATAGCTGTTTTCTGCACCAACAGTATGTTGAAAGACCCATACTCAAAAGACCAGTTGACAGAGAGACATTCAATAGGAGTTTATTTAGTTAAACAATAAATTTTTGCTTATTAATCCCTAATTTTTGTGAACACATTCCTCTCCTAGGAATTGCCAGTTCTTCAAGACCAAACCTCATCTTTGTCCTCTTCTATCTCCTCAAATGACCTCACCTCATTTAACTTTACATTCTACCTTATGCCAAAATGTCTGCTTCAATTATTACTCTTCTGACCTCAGAGCTTTCCTTGCAAAGGTTAATCCTCTACCTGTATTCAGTTTAATGTAGTCCCCTTTTCTATAATAGACCTTATTCCAGTTTTCTTCTCTCAAGGTTTATTTTGTAACTCTGTCTAATGTAGCTTGTCATTCTTCCTACTATGCTTAGTTTCTTCTAATAAAATAAGTCTGCTTTCCTTCCAGAAACCAGTCCATCATAGGATGAGGCCCACAGTCACCACTGCTCCTTTTGAGTACACATCTTCCTTTGGCCACCATTCCTTGAAGGATACTACTGATTTTGTGTCCTTCAATACTCTGAACAAATCTTAAAAACAGGGCTAATTCTCAATCCTCCAGGGTGTTTTGAATTCAGCTCCTTATTTTATTTTTTAGAGTTTCATTTTTAAATCATCACTTTTCTTGGACTTTTCCTTTGACTTGACTTTTCCTTATTTTATTCATTTCACTTAACCTTTGTCATTAACAAATCGTTAACATATATTGCCAAAGACCTATATGGATATTTTGTCAAATTCAAAAAGAACTTTCACCTGCATTGAATTTATGAAATAGGCATCTATATAAAAATCTTTTTAGTCCATATTTAACTTATCCTGGAGCTGGAAGAAAAATTGTTATCTTGGCATTATATTGGATTATAGAATGATCTGATACATAACATAGTGTCTCAAAGACTCTAAGTGTATATACAAGATAGGTTGTAACTTTAAGTACCCATTTTCTTATTTCAAGTATTTGTTCATTTTCGGTGGTTAGGTAAAAGATTTGCTTAAAAGTTAAGATTCTATACAAAACGCCTTGGATAGGTGTTATTATTGGATAATAAAACTTGGATAGTTTTATTATTATGTTTCATTTCCTTTCTTGAAAAAATATATATAAAATAACAACTTGGCATGCTATGTCCACAGATAATTGTTTTTATTTTATTGTTTTAAGATTGTGAGTTAAAAATAATGCAGAGATGCTTAAGGTCAACAAGCAAATTATATGAACATTTGCACAGATTTCAAATTTGGGACCAAATTTATTCATGTGATGACTATTTGCTGTGTAGATCATCAAGAAGTATTCCAGTCAAAAAGGCAGAAATCTTTAGGATGGGTATTTTCTCTGAAATTTCAAAAACTGGATGCAGGACTCAGGCTCATGTATAATTTTTCATCTCATGTAATTTGATCAGCAGTAACTTGGCTGCTGGAATTTGTAGGCATAAATGCTAACATCATTATTTTATTGACTCCATAGCTATTTTTTATTAGCAATTTGGTTCTTTAGAACTAGTCTTTTCAAGGGAATGTTTTCATTTTATAGCAACAGATGAACTGAAGAAGTGTAAAGGGTCAAAATTATTTCTACATAATGGAGAACTAGCACATAAAATTGAATATGATCATAACACTAACAAAAGTTACCAATGCCGAGGAAAATCAGAACTCAAACACTCAATCTGTATAAATGGAAAATGGGATCCTAAAGTAACCTGCAAAGAAGGTAATCTCTTGTCTGTAATGTTTTAAAAAATGTATTCTATTTCTAACTCGTAAAAGTAGTATCTTTGTGTCCTTCAAGGAAATTTAGCTATTTATCATTACAAATATTTTCCTTCTGCAAGGTAATTTGGAAGCTAATCAAAATACTGTGTCTAAATATTATTTGTATAATATGCCTTAGTCAGCTATGTGACAAACCACTCAGAGACTTTGTGACTTTAAATTAACATCTGGGCAGTAGATGTGCTCATTTCTATGGGAAAGCCATTACTTCTGATTTTGTGTATTACACATAAATGTGCTTATGCCTATGCTGAACTATTATGCATTTATCCACATATCTATTTATGTATCAATCTATGTATCTATTTCTCTGTTTGTTTAACTATCTTGAAAAGTCTTGAGTTATGTTGACACGATGAATTCCAGTTGAATTGGTTCATTTCAGTTTTCCACTTTTCATATCTGTGTTTCTCTTCTCCGACTGTGACATCTTGACTCCCTATCCTCAATATTTTTACCAATTTCTACAAGCCTAGAATATCTAGAAAGAAGCTTCAAATCAATACAAAACTAAATCTATTGTCTAATATTCAACATCATAATTCATCCTTTTATAAAGATCCCTATATAAAAACCATACCACAGTAAAGCTGTATTAATGGAAAATAAATTATTTAGAAAAGCATAACTATTTGGGAATTAAACAACAAGCTTCTAAATAACTGCCATGCCAATACATAAAGTACATTGTGTATTATGGGCTTCCCTGGTAGCTCAGCTGTTAAAGAATCCACTTGCAATGTAGGAGATCCCCAGTTCAATTTCTAGATCAGGAATATCAACTAGAGCAGAGTTAGGCTGCCCACTCCAGGATTCTTGAGCTTCCCTGGTAGATCAGTCTATGATCCACCTGCAGTGGGGGCGGGTGGGGGACCTGGTGAATCCCCGTGTTGGGAAGATCCCATGGAGGCAACCCACTCCAGTATTCTTGCCTGGAGAAGCCCCAAGGAGAGAGGAGCCTGGCAGGTTGCAGACCATGGGATCACAAAGAGTGGGAAATGACCGAGTGGCTAAGCACAGCATTGTATATTATACATTATATGTTTATGATTGCTTAGCCCTTGTGAGTTAACTTTTTTATAATCATAAAATATTTCTTAATTTTTGTCATGCACCTTGTCTGGAAATCTATATTAGCTTATTAAATATAATTAAATTAAAACAATTTATTATTTCACATGATGAAGGAATTCCCAACAAATTTAAAGGAATTCATGTTTGTAAATTATTCTAAATTAATAGCAAATATAAAAAGAAAAAAAAGCTTGCTACACAACTGCATCTTTAAGGAAACAACATTTACAGGTAGTGAAGTATGTATGTTCTACCGTTTCTTCTAGAAACTTTATAGTGTTACATGAGTATATTTAAGTATGTTATCTGTCTTATGTTAACATTTGAGGATTGCATAAAGTAGGAGTTGATTTTTTTATGGATGGATTGTCAATTATTTTAGCAATATGTGTGGAAAAGATTTTGAAGTGGAAAATCAGTTAACTATGAAAATGTTGATTTATTTCTGAACTTTCTATTCAATCATTTAACAATCTTCACTGCTGCCAAATTACCTTTGTAACTAGCTTTTTAGTAGGCTGAAAGTCTGATAATAGTCTCCAAGTATGTTCCTTTCACTCAAAATTACTTTAGTTATTCCGGTTTTGAACATAGAAATTTCAGGGGAAACTTACAAATTTTGATAAAATATTGGGTTGTATATCGAAAGGGATGACTTTGTAATGAGAAACGAATTGTGGAGAATTGACTTCTTTACCATTTTGAATTTTGAAATCATAAACATGGTATGTCTCTATTTATTTCTGCTTCAATTTTTCTAGACATACTAGTAGGCTCCCCTGGGAACTCAGTAAAGAATCTGCCTGCAATTCAGGAGACCAGGTTCAGTCCCTGAGTGGGGAAGATCCCCTGGAGAAGGGAATGGCTTCCCACTCCAGTATTCTTGCCTGGAGAATCCCATGGACAGAAAAGCCTGGCAGGCTACAGTCCATAGAGTTGCAGAGAGTTGGACACGCTTGAGCACATGTGAGATCTGATATGCAGTTTGCTTCTTCAAAACATTCCCTTGATGAAGAATTCAATTTCTTTAATAGGGAGTATGCTATTCACATTTTCTACATTGTCTTATCATTGTGTGAAGGTTGCATTTTTCAAGAAATACCTCTATTTTACCTAACTTATGAAATTGATTGATGTAAAATCATTTCTAATAGTCACTTAACATTCTATTTTTCTTTTAATCCTATAGTATATTTGGTGGTATCAGCTCTTTCATTCTTGGTATTGAGAGTTGTTTCCCACCTTTATTTTGTGATCTGAGTTTTGTTTTTCAAAATTAACATTTTCAAATAAACATTTTTAACACCCTTAGTTTATTCCATTTCCTCTCTTGTCTAATTTTTATCATGTTAATATTCTTTTTTTTTCCATTTATTTTTATTAGATGGAGGCTAATTACTTTACATCATTGCAGTGGTTTTTTGTCATACATTGAAATGAATTAGCCATGGATTTACATGTATTCCCCATCCCGGTCCCCCCTCCCACCTCCCTCTTCATCATGTTAATATTCTTGATTTTCAACTTTGTTAATTTTCTGATTTCTCTTTTCTATTAATCTTTCTCAATATTTTTGTCTCTTGTGGACTTAATTTTCCTTTTTTCTAATGGCTTGATTATAATTTTACTCTCTCATTTCTTAAGATAGAAAATGAAAACATTGATTCAAACCATCCTGTTTTTTAAATTTAAAACTGCAAAACTACCTTTATTTACTTCTAAGTATTGCTTTACCTGTGTAAAACTACCTTTTTGGACTGCTAAGAATTGCTTTATCTGTGCCTCAAAAATTTATAAATATGTATCAATTTTATTTTCATTTAACTCTATGTGAAACATTTCCTAATATTCCTAGTGACTTCTTTGACATAACAGTTGTTTAGAAATTTGTTGTTCAATTCTCACATATTTATGATTTTCTAAATAATTCGTTCTCCATTAGTAGTCATTCTGCGGTATGATTTTTATCTAGAGAGCTGCTTATTTTTACTATACTCAATTTGATGATTATCGTGGGTAATTGCATAGATAATTTATTCTTATTGATTTCTAATCTAATTCCCTTGTCATAGAACACACTGCAAATTTTTAATATTTTGAATTTTATTCTTTCTTTTTGCACAACATATTGTCTATCTTTGTGATGTTTCCATTTCATATAAAGTATATGCGTATTCTAGTTTCTAGATCAGGTTAACACTGTTGTAGTGTTCTAAAAATGTACCTATGTCTTAAAATAGTTTTTTCTCATTGTTCTATCCATTAAAGTAGGAAGGCTCTCAGAATTGCTAACAAGGGGTGTGGATTTGTCTACTTCTTTTTTCAGTTCTGCATATCTTTGCTTCATGTATTCTGATATATTCTTAGATACATCATATATTTATAATGGCCTAGTCCTTGTGAATTACCTTTTTAATATTTATAAAATAGGTCTTCATAGTTTTCATAATATGCCTTCTCTGGAAGTCCACATCAATTTATCAAAATATAGATAATTAATTTAAAACACTTGATTATTTTCATGTGATAAAGCAATTCCTAATCAATTTCATGTAATGTGTCCTCAAATTAATCTCTCTAACTTAAAAGCAATTGCAAATTAAAAGAAAACTAGCTAAACAACTTACTAACCCATATCACAAAACTTGAAAATTAAAAAAAAAAAATTTTCTGTGATTTATTGACAGAAAGTATGTTAAATTAAGTAAAATGAAACAGTATACTTTGGAATCTATGGTATACAGCAAAAAACAAAGATATGTATAAATTAAAACTTGCTTTACAGAAAAAAAGGAACCTAAGTAATAGGTAGTACAATCTAGAGTCTAGAAAAGAACATACATCCAAAGAACATAGAAGGAAAGAAAAACTGAAATTAAAATGTCAATTTTTATAATAAACTAAAAAGCATAAATAGCTGATTTGCAAAATATTCAGTTTATGGGGAAATGTAGTGTATAGACTAACTTTTGCAAGACTTTTAACAAGTATAAAATTATTAGGACAAAAATTTTAAACATCAGACACAAAAGAATGAATTTTTGAAAATACATTGATAAAAATGTCAAGATAGTTAAAACAGAAATAAGAGAAATATTTTTGATGAAACATAAAATAGTCCAAGTCTTCCCTGGTGGCTCTGATGGTAAAGAATCCACCTTAGATGCAGGAGACCTCAGTTCGATTCCTGTGTCGGGAGGATCCACTGGAGGAGGGCAGGGCTTCCTACTCCAGTATTCTTGCATGGAGAATCCAGAATCCCCATGGACAGAGGAGCCTGGCAGATTATAGTCCATGGGGTCACAAAGAGTCTGACATGACTGAGTGACTAAGCACAACATAGCACACAAAGTACTCCTATTGACAGATCAGAATAGAAAATCTGATGATATTACTAATGATGAACAAGGTGTATTCAGTCAAATATTTCTCTGAATTTAATACAAAATGTTGGGTCCCTGAAAGGATTTATGAGTTTCCAGCCTATACTTGCATGTGCTTCTAATGAAATAAAAAGGAAGCTGTGGTACATATACACCGTGGAATATTACTCAGCCATTAAAAAGAATTCATTTGAATCAGTCCTAATGAGATGGATGAAACTGGAGCCCATTATACAGAGTGAAGTAAGCCAGAAAGATAAAGACCATTACAGTATACTAACACATATATATGGAATTTAGAAGATGGTAATGATAACCCTATATGCAAAACAGAAAAAGAGACACAGATATACAGAACAGAGTTTTGGACTCTGTGGGAGAAGGCAAGGGTGGGATGTTTTGAGAGAACAGCATCAAAACATGTATATTATCTAGGGTGAAACAGATCACCAGCCCAGGCTGGATGCATGAGACAAGTGCTTGGGCCTGGTGCACTGGGAAGACCCAGGAAGATCGGGTAGAGAGGGAGATGGGAAGGGGGATTGGGATGGGGAATACATGTAAATCCATGGCTGATTCATGTCAATGTATGACAAAAGCCACTACAATATTGTAATTAGCCTCCAATTAATAAAAATAAATGAAAACACACACACACACACACACACACACACACACACACACACACAAATGAAGTATGACAGGAGAAAGCAAAACCAAGGAGTCATAGAGGGCTCCAAAGTTTTCCAGGTGTATTCATGCAGTCTTCCCTCAGTTGAGCAGAACAGGTTTTGTCTTCAGATTATGAATTGTATATCTGAGGTATCTCCATTTGATGGACTCAGACACAGTTTACAGAGGGATCTTTTATACCCTCTGGTCACGTACCAAAAGCCAGGCTTGCTAATCATTAAAGCAGGTGCATCCATCAATGTATATATCCTTTAACAGTGCAGGCAAGCTAGTGAATCGTACCTCCAGGAGAGTACTGAACTGTAAACAATTCACTCTAAAACCCAGTGAAAATATCTAACTCTTACCTAGTTCAAGAATCGGCATCAAAATAATAGTTTATTAACTAAATGTGGTTTATCCTCTGGCTAATCAACTCCCATGGTAGAAAAATTTGTGAGGGCTTCAATCCAATTCCAATATATCTGATCATGAGTATCTACTAAAAAACAAACAAAGAAAAAGACCCTGATACCAGTTTTTCCTCAGTACCTATAACTGAGTGAGCAATTCATTTAGGGCATCCTAAAGGTTAGAAAAAATTAAAATCAGTTTACATAAATCATGCAAGATTGACCACAGGAAGAATAAAAGGAAGAAACTACAAGAAAGACCACGAGACTGTGAACCAAATGTGATATATTAATGTGCTAAACAAGCTTAAGCATATAATTATAAAGTATCATATTATTTGATCATTTATGATATATTATTAGAGCTTTCTGTTTATTGAAAAAATTTCCTTTAATATTTGAACTTACACTTTCTAATCAAGAAATCTAATTTTAATATTTTCAGAAGCACAAATACAACAATGCCCACCTCCACCTCAGATTCCCAATGCTCGAGATATGACAACTACAGTGAAATATCAAGATGGAGACAAAATATCAATTCTATGTAAAGAAAATTATCTAATTCAAGATGCAGAAGAAATTGTGTGCAAGGATGGAAGATGGCAGTCAATCCCACGTTGTATTGGCAAGTAGTGCATAAGTTTGTTTAAAACGTTCTTTAAAGAAGATTAATACTCCTCTAAGCTCCGTATCCTTCCATGGTGGCTCAGTGGTAAAGAAACTTCCTGCAGTGCAAGAGACGCAGAAGATACAGGTTCAATCCCTGGATGGGGAAGATCCCCTGGGGCGGGGCAGGGTGGGGGATGGCAGCCCACTCTAGTGTTCTTGCCTGGGAAATTCCATGTTCAGAGGAACCTGGTGGGCTAGAGTCCATTGGGTTGCAAAGAGTTGGACTTGACTAAGTGACTGAGCAGCACATATTCTTTGCATGGATCAGCAAGATGAAGTCCTCTCTGTATTTTCCAGTTTATCTTGAAACAGTAAATCACAGTTTCAGTTTATGAATTGATGAACACTTTCTGATGTGAAATGCAAACTCTTTGGGCTACTGTGCAAATAACAGGTAAAATTTATGTTTATGCAAATTTTTTTCCTAATGATCAAAAGGACAAGGATGAAGGGACAGTTGGGCTGCCCAGCCTGGGAGTCATGGTCCTGAAAGATAAACCCCCAGAAATTCTGGCATAGAAGTCCAGTGTAACTTGTGCCCAAGAAAACCAGAGGGCCATAGGAAACAGAGCTGCTGCTCTTTAAAGGCACACAGAATTCTCACGTGCTCTGTGCCCCAGTAAAGAGGCATCAATGGGAAAGAGGCTTGGGTTAGACTAATTTGCTTATCTTTGTGAAACTCCTAGAGAGATAGGAAACAACTGGGATCATAGATGCTGGGGCCAGCCATTGTGAGAGACAAGTGCCACTTTAGAGTTCTCCCCAACACACACATACATAGCTTACTAGCACCAGAGGCTTAACAACTCACCAGCATGACAGCACCAGCCCCAGACTCCACTGGGCTCCACAGCGGCCACACTTGCATCGCACCCTGCTCTTGGGTGTGATGCCACCAGCCCATGTACACTTAGGGACTGAAGCCAGCTCCATCAACACTTCATCCTGCCTATGAGTGGGCTGGCAGCCACTACATGAGGCAGAGTCTGACAGCCAACAGGGGAGGAGGTGGGATCCTTCCCTACCAGTGCACCCAGTGTAGTTGGCATTGGTACAGCAGAAGGGCACCCAGATCCTACAGAGAGGAGCATTCTGCTGGGCCCCATAGACTTCTCCTGCATACGACCACTTCTCTAAGATCAGGAATGCACCTAACTCTTAGAAACAAACAAAGAGTTAGGTAAAATCATGAGACAGAGAAATGCATTCCAAATAAAGGAACCAGACAAAATCTCAGAAAAGTCACTAAACAAAGTTAAAGTAAGCAATCTGCCCAATAAACCATGCAAGGTAATGACCATAAAGATGATCAATGGACTAGAGAAGAATGGATAAAAACAGAATTTTAAGAATAAAAAAATACAAAGATGAACTAAACAGTGCTGGAGGATACAACAGCTGAAATGAAAAATACAGTAGAGACAATCAATAGTAGATTAGAGGATTCAGAAGAATGGATCAGAGATATGGAAGACATGGTAGTGGAAAGTTCCAAAGCAGCATAGGAAAAAGAAAAAAATAATTTAAAAAATTAAGATAGGTTAACAGACATCTGGGACAACATCAGTACCATTCTCATTATAAGGATATAAAATAGAGAGAGAGAGAGAGACATATTTGAAGAAATAATAGCTAAACTTTTCTAATCTGGGGAAGGAAGCAGACAGTCAGGTCTAGAAATCAGACAATCCCAAAAAGAGATGAACCTGAAGAGGTCCATACCAGCACACATTATCATTCAATGGGAAAAAATTAATAATATGTTGTTCCAATGTAAATGGCAATGGGATCATACTTATCAATAATTACCCAATATGTAAATGGGTTGAATGCCCCAACCAAAAGACAAAGACTGGCTGGATGGATACAAAAACAAGACCCCTATATATGCTTTCTAAAACAGACCCACCTCAAAACAAGGGACACATAATACTGAAAGTGAAGGGCAGGGAAAGATATTTCGTGCAAATGGAGACCAAAATAAATCAAGAGTAGCAATACTGATATCAGACAAAGTAGACTTTGAAATAAAGTCTATGAAAAGAGACAAAGAAAGACACTACATAATGATCAAAGGATCAATTCAAGAAGAAGGTATAACAATTATAAATATATATGCACCCTATGTACCAACATAGGAGCAGCTCAATACGTAAGGTAAATGCTAACAAGTATGAAAGGGGAAATTAACAGTAACACAATAATAGTGGGATATTTTAATACCCCACTCACACATATGGATATGTCAACCAAACAGAAAATTAGCAAGGAAACACAAACTTTAAATGATACAATGAACCAGTTAGACCTAATTGATATCTCTAGGACATTTCACCCCCAAACAATGCATTTCACCTTTTTCTCAAGTGCATAAGGAACAGGACAGATCACATCCTGGGCCATAAATCTAGCCTTGGTAAATTCAAAGAAATTGAAATCATTTCAAGCATCTTTTCTGATCACAATGCGGTAAGATTAGATGTCAACTACAGAAAAAAAAAAACTATTAAAAACACAAACAGATGGAGGCTAAATAACATGATTCTGAATAACCAGCAAATAATGGAAGAAATCAAAAAGTAAATCAAAATATGCATAGGAACAAATGAAAATGAAAACATGACAACCCAAAACCTATGGGATTCAGTAAAAAGAGTGCTAAGGGAAAGGTTCATAGCTTTACAAGCTTACCTCAAGAAATAAGAGAAAAATCAAATAAATAAGCTAAACTTACACCTAAAGCAAATAGAAAAAGAAGAACCCCAGGGTTAGTAGAAGGAAGGAAATCATAAAAATCCAGACATAAATAAATGAAAAAGAAACAAAGGAGACTATAGCAAAAATCATTAAAACTAAAAGTTGGTTCTTTGAGACGATAAATAAAATAGATAAACCATTAGCCATTCTCATCAAATAAAAAAATGGAGAAGAATCAAATCAATAAAATTAGAAATGAAAATGGAGAAGTAATGACAACACAGAAATACAAGGGAGACTACTATCAGCAACTATATGCCAATAAAATGGACAACCTGGAAGAAACGGACGGATTCTTAGAAAAGTATAACCTTCCAAAACTGAACCAGGAAGAAAGAGAAAATCTTAACAGACCCATCACAAGCATGGAAATAGAAACTGGAATCAAAAATCTTCCAAACAAAAGCCTAGGACCAGATGGCTTCACAGGTGAATTCTACCAAAAATTTAGAGACGAGCTAATAACACCTATCCTTCCCTGGTGGCTCAGAGGGTAAAGTATCTTCCTGCAATGTGGGAGACCTGTGTTCAATCCCTGGGTTGGGAAGATCCCCTGGAGAAGGAAATGGCAACCCACTCCAGTACTCTTGTTTAGAGAACCCCATAGACAGAGAAGCCTGGTAGGCTACAGTCTATTGGGTTGCAAAGAGTTGGACATGACTGAACGACTTCACTTTCACTTTTCTTTTCAACACCTATCCTACTCAAACCCTTCCTGAAAATTTCAGAGGAAGGTAAACTCCCAAACTCATTCTGTGAGGCAACTATCACCCTAATTCCAAAACCAGACAAAGATTCCACAGAAAAAGAAAACTAAAGGCCAATCTCACTGAAGAAATAGATGCAAAAACCCTTAGCAAAATTCTAGCAAACAGAATTCAACAATATATTTAAAAGGTCATACATCATGACCAAGTGGACTTTATCCCAGGGAGCAAGGGTTCTTCAGTATTCACAAATCAATCATTGTGATATACAAAATGAACAGTTTGAAGGAAAAAAACCATATGATTATCTAAATAGATTCAGAGAATGCTTTTGACAAAACTTAACATCCATTTATGATAAAAACCCTCCAGAAAGCATGCATAGAAGGACCATACCTCAACATAATAAAAGCCATATATGATAAACCCACAGCAAACATTATCCTCAATGGTGAAAAATTGAAATCATTTACCATAAAGTCAGGAACATGACAAGGGTGCTCACTCTCACCACTACTATTCAACACAATTTTGGAAGTTTTATCCACTATGATCAGAGAAGAAAAGGAAATAAAAGGAATCCAGATTGAAATAGAAGAAGTAAAACTCACTGTTTGCAGATGATCTGATTCTCTACATAGAAAACCCTAAAAACCCCACCAAAAAATTACTAGATCTAATCAATTAATATAGTAAATTTGCTGGATATAAAATTAATACACAGAAATCCCTTGCATTCCTATACACTAACAATGAGAAAACAATGAAAAATTAAGGAAACAATCCCATTCACCACTGTGATGAAATGAATAAAATACTTAGGAATAAATCTACCTAAATAAACAAAAGACCTATACATGGACAGCTATAAAACACTGATGAAGGAAATCAAAGATGACACAAATAGATGGAGAAATTACCATGTTCATGGATCAGAAGACTCAATATAGTGAAAATGAGTGTACTACCCAAAGCAATCTATAGATTCAGTGCAATCCCTCTCAAGCTCCAACTGCATTTTTTCACAGAACTAGAACAAATAATTTCACAATTTGTGTGGAAATACAAAAAAAACCTCGAATAGCCAAAGCAATCTTGATAAGGAAGAATGGAACTGGAGGAATCAACATGCCTGACTTCAGACTATACTACAAAGCTACAGTCATCAAGATAGTATTGTTCTGGCACAATGACAAAAATATAGATCAATGGAACAAGATAGAAAACCCAGAGATAAATCCTTGCACCTATGGACACCTTGTCTTTGACAAAGGAGGCAAAAATATACAATGGAGAAAAGACAATCTCTTTTAACAAGTGGTGCTGGGAAAACTGGTCAACTATCTGTAAAAGAAGGAAACTAGAACACTTTCCAACACCATACACAAAAATAAACTCAAAATAGATTAAAGATCAAAATGTAAGATCAGAAAATATAAAACTCCTAGAGGAAAACATAGGCAAAACACTCTCTGATGTATCATAACAAGATCCTCTATGACCCACCTCCCAGAGTAATGGAAATAAAAGCAAAAATAAACAAATGGGACCTAATTAAATGTAAAAGCTTTTGCACAACGAAGAAAACTCTAAGCTAGGTGAAAAGACAGCATTCAGAATAGGAGAAAATAATAGCAAATGAAGCAACTGACAAAGAACTAATCTCAAAAACATATAAACCACTCATGTAGCTCAATACCAGAAAAAAAAAAAGACCCAATCCAAAAATGGGCCAAAGCATTAAACAGACATTTCTCCAAAGAAGACATACACATGGCTAACAAACACATGAAAAAATGCTCAGCATCACTCATTCTCAGAGAAATGCAAATCAAAACCACCATGAAGTACCATCTCATGCTGGTCAGAATGGCTGCTATCTAAAAGCCTAGTGCAGGAGAAGGTGTGGCCAAAAGGGAACCCTTACACTGTTTGTGGGAATGCAAACTACTACAACCACTATGGAGAATAGTGTGGAGATTCCTTAAAAAAAAAAAAAAAACTGAAAAAGATCTGCCATATGACCCAGCAATCCCACCGCTGGGCATACCCTTGAAGAAAACAGAAATGAAAGAGATATCTGTACCCCAGTGTTCACCGTAGCACTGTTTACAATAGCTAAGACATGGAACCAGCCTAGATGTCCATCAGCAGACGAATGGATAAGAAAGTTGTGGTACATATGCACAGTGGAATATTACTCAGCTATTAAAAAGATTGCATTTGAATCAGTTCTAATGAGGTGTGTGAAACTAGAGCCTATTATACACAGTGATGTAAGTCCGAAAGAAAAACACCAATACAGTATATTAATGCATATATATGGAATTTAGAAAAATGGTCACGACAACCGTATAGGCGAGACAGCAAAAGAGACACAGATATAAGAACAGACTTTTGGACTCTGTGGGACAAGGCGAGGGGGGGATGATTTGAGAGAACAGAAATGAAACATGTATATTACCATATGTGAAATAGATCATCAGTCCAAGTTCGATGCATAAAGCAGGGCACTCAAGGCTGGTGCACAGGGACAACCCGGAGGGATGGGAATGGGCGGGGGGGAGTGGTGGGAGGGGAGTTCGGGATCAGGGACACATGTACACCCGTGGCTGATCCATGTCAATGTATGGCAAAAACCACCACAATATTGTAAAGTAATTAGCCTCCAATTAAAATGAAAAATTAATTTTAAAAATGTTGTTGTTCTGTTGCCAAGTCATGTCCAATACTTTGTGACCCCATGGACTGCAACAGGCCAGGCTTCCCTGTCTCTCACCATCTCCCAGAGTTTGCCCACTGAATTTTCCATTCCAGAGTTTTCCATTGATTCAGTGATGCCACCCAACCATGTCATCCTCTGTCACCCGCTTCTCCTTCAAGAGAAAAGGCAGTAGTTACCTACAAGGAGACCCTTACAAGTATCAACAGCTTCTGAAAAATCTTTTTTTGGTCACAAGGGACTGGCACAACATATACAAAGCCATGAAAGGAAAAACTTGGAGCCAACACTACTGTGTCCAGGAAAAACATATTGCAACCATAGTGTGGTGTCCCTTCACACCTGTCATCATGGCTGTCATGAAAAGGGCAACATCAAGTGTTGTCAAAGACGTGGAGGAAAGGGAATATTTGTGCACTGTTGGTGGGATTGTAAACTGGAAGAGTTGCTATGAATGTGGAATTTCCTTTAAAAATTAAAAATAGAACTGCCATATGATTCAGCTATTCCACTACTGGGTATTTATTCATAGTAACCAAAAACACTGATCTAAAAAGATATTTGCACTCCAATGCTCATTGCAACATTACACACAATAACCAAGGTTTGGAAGCCACCTAAAGAATCCACTGATATAGAAGTAGATAAAGAAGATGTTTTATATATACACGCGATGTGAACTATGACTGAGCCATAAAATATGAAACATTTCCATTTGCAGCCACGTGGATGTGTCTAGGATGTATTTATTCTAAGAGATGCAGGTCAGATAGAAAAAGATAAATGCCACATGATTTCACTTATTTGTGGAATCTAAAAACAAAATAAAAGGAAAACAGACTCATACAGATACAGAAAAGTAGTGAGTTGTTGCAAGAAAGGAGGAGGGGGTTGGCAAAGTAGATACAGGGGATTTACAAGTACAGACCCCAGTTATGTAATAAAGAAGCCAGGGGGATGTATTATACAGCATACAGAATATGGTCAATAATATTGTAATAAATTTGTTAAGAATGATTGTTACCAGACATACTGCTAGTCATTTTATAATGTATGTAAAAGTAAAATCATTTTGTAGCACATTTGAAGCTAGCATACTGTTATACATCCAACATTTCAATAGGAAATTCATTTTAAAAAGGATGAAGGGGCATATTGAACAAGTGGTAGTGGCATAGTGTTTATGGAGACAAATAGCTTGCAAGTTTCAAATATTTGTCAGTTTTTAAATCCTTTAACTTGTTCTCAGTATTCTTTTCTTTTTTCTTATTTTAAAATCCAAAGTAATATTTGACTGTATTAATATTTTTAATGTAAAGATTATATTTATACTTTACTCTTTGACCTCTGTACTTCATATAGAAAAAATTGGATGTTCTCAACCACCTCAAATAGACCATGGAACCATTAGCTCATCTAGTTCTGCAGAAGAAAGGAGAGAAATACATGAACAAAGGCTGTATGCACATGGCACGAATTTAAGTTATACTTGTGAAGAAGGCTTTGAGATATCTGAACATAATGTGATAATATGCCAAATGGGAAAGTGGAGCTCTCCACCTCAGTGTGTAGGTGAGGACACTGGGCAAACCAAAATCTATTTTCAGTACCGTTCATTCAACTAATCAATTGTCATCAAAGTCATGAGACTCGATCCTTTCAATTTCTAAATACATCAAGTAACTTATCTATTTATAGGTTAATGTATTAAAATAAAATTTATACATTAAATCAAATTTGACATAAAATTAATCATTTTTGTTATTAATAATTTCATTTCTTCTATATAGGATCACTTCAATCTGGCAATTATTTTGTATTAACACTGGATGGGCAATAAAATTAAACCTAACTATTCATATTAGTAAACCTATTTATATTCCTATACATTCAAGTTTCAAAAATATGTCCTATGTCTTCCCTAAAATGTCCTTCTTAATTTCTTACAATATATAATACTTTTTCTAAGATGATGTGTGGAGTCTCAATGTGCTTTTCTTTTATTACTCATAATTGGTTAGAGAAGCACTGATGGTTTCTTTCATATATTGGTAACTTCAGTTTCAAGTTCTTGCTCAAGTGGACACACACCAGAATGGTGATTTTAGGAAAAATTTGTGCACTTCCCTCTCATGTCATGGATGTTCCTGTATAATCATTTATTATTTTCAAGTAAAATTACCAAATATGTTGACCAGTACATCAAATTAAATTTCAAAGTTAGCAAAACATGAAATCGTTCTTTCATTTCTTCCCAGGACTTCCTTGTGGACATCCACCTTATATTCTGAATGGTGTTTTATCTCACAAGAAAGACAGTTACCAATATGGAGAAGAAGTTACTTACGACTGTGATGAAGGGTTTGGAACTGATGGACCTGCATCTATGAGATGTTTAGGAGGGAAATGGTCTCGTCCACAAGATTGCATAAGTATAGTGTTTATCCTTTTATTCTAAAGCTGACAAATATCTTTTAATTCAAAGCATAAATGGCACAAATATGAAACTAAGCAGTAATTCTAGAATTTAACAAGGTATCTATGAAAAGTTCTGAATAGATTAATAGATTAATAATAGATTAATTCTGGTAGAGAATTAATAACGCTAGAAATAATAAAAGTTTGATTTGTTGTTGCAGTTCAGTCATTCAGTCGTTTCTGACTCTTTGTGACCCCATGGACTGTAGCAAGCCAGGCGTCCCTGTCCTTCACTGTCTCCTGGAGTTTGCTTAAACTCATGTCCATTGAATCGGTGATGCTATTCAACCGTCTCATTGTTTGCTGCCCCCTTCTCCTCCTGCCCTCAGTCTTTCCTAGCATCAGGGTCTTTTCCAATAAGTCGGCTCTTCATATCAGGTGAACAAAGTATTAGAGCTTCAGCTTCAGCATCAGTCCTTCCAATGAATATTCAGGGTCGATTTCTTTTAGGTCTTCTCCAGCACCATAGTTTGAAAGTATCAATTCTTTGGCACTCAACCTTCTTTACTGTCCAAATCTCAAATCGTTCATGACTACTGGAAAAGTCATAGCTTTGGCTAGGTGGACCTTTGTTGGCAAAGTGATGTCTCTGCTTTTTAATATTCTGTTGAGGTTTGTCATAGCTTTTCTTCCAAGGAGCAAGCGTCTTTTAATTTCATGGCTGCAGTGACCATCCACAGTGGTTTTAGAGCCCAAGAAAATGAAGTCTGTCACTGTTTCCATTTCTTCCCCATCTGTTTGCCATGCAGTGATGGGACCAGATGCCATGATCTACATTTTTTGAATGTTGAGTTTTAAGCTTGCTTTTTCATTCTCTTCTTCAACCTTCACCAAGAGGCCCTTTAGTTCCTCTTTACTTTCTGCCATTAAGGTGGTGTCATCTGAGGCATTGCTGAGATTATTGGTATTTATCCTGGCAATCTTGATGCCAGCTTGAGCTTCATCCAGCCAGGCATTTTATATGATGTACTCTGCATATAAGTTAAATAAGCAGGATGACAATATACACCCTTAAAGTACTCTTTTTCCAATTTTGAGCCAGTCAATTGTCCATGTACGCCTCTAGCTGTTAACTTCTTCACCTGCATAGAGTTTTCTCAGGAGGAAGGTAAGGTGGTCTGGTATTCCCATCTCTTCAAGAATTTTCCACAGTTTGTTGTGATCCACACAATCAGGGCTTTAGCATAGGCAATGAAGAAGAAGTAGATGTTTTTTTGGAATTCCCTTGCTTTTTCTGTGATCCAATGGAGGTTGACAATTTGATAACACTAAATTATCTGTTTCACGTCATCTTGGGTGCAGTTTGAACATCCTCTGATATACATCACAGATTTCTGGTCTCTGTTCCTGTACCATGGCTGAACTTTGCTCTTATGACTACACAATTTGCTGTTAATTTGTCGACTATTTCTTTGTAATATGCAGTTTTCTAAGACATTTAACATAATTCAAGGTAACATATTTTGATAAAAGCAAAAATAGAAACATTCATATTTTAGGTGTGCTGTCATGAGAGAAGAGAATTTAAATTTGAGAAGTATGCAGCTCTACCTCTTAGAATGTCACCATCTCGTGTTGCATTTTTGATAATATAGAGACAATCAATGTGACTAAATCAAGATTTCTGACATTTGTCTCAAGGTATAAGAGAAAGGCTGTACAATGTTCATTGGTTTGATATGTAACTATTTATTTTCTGGAATATAATCAGTAGTCACTGTGAATCTTTAAAGATGTACTAAACAAATGCACATTCTTTTTTCTTTCAGGCACAAATTGTGTTAACTTGCCCACCTTTGATGATGCTGTACTCATAGATCAGGAGAAGGATTTCTATAGTTCAGGAGAACAAGTGGCTTTTAAGTGTCTATCATATTATCAGTTGGATGGATCTAATACTATACAGTGTATGAAGAGCAAATGGATAGGAAGGCCAGCGTGCAGAGGTACTTTGGTAAAATTTTAAAATTTATATATCTGAAGTAATATGATGTAGAAAATTGCCTCCACTATCATTAAATGGACATCGATTACTTTTAAGCCAGGTCAAAAACAGTTTGTGCCTGACCATAAAGAGGCGTGGACTTGAGTTCTCAGCGTTTGGTGTTGTAGCCCAATAGTTCTCAAAGCAGAGTCCCGGCAGAGCATTCTCAGCACATTCTGTAAACTGTTAGATGTGCAAGCAGATTCACAGGCTCACTGGGACTTGTTGAATCTAAACCTCTGGGGCTGGACTCTGACAGTGTTTTGAAGATTCCCAAGGAATTCTGTGTCTATTTCGGTTTAGGACCCGTGGCTACAGCCTCTTGTAGTTAGAGCTGCTGGATCCCCTGAATCACACTGAGGGATGCACATCATTGACGGTGGTGTCCTTAGCATTTGCCCCAGAATATCATTAACGTATAGTTTTGTAAATTTATACTTTATTTTTCTATTTTTGTTCCAGACAGATCTTCTGTTCAGCTCTTTAATTAATCATCTTCTCTCTGCAACTATAGTATTCTTCAAAGTGTGTTAATTCTTGATCAAGTCTCTAAAGAAAAACCTACTGTGTTTATTTTCTGAAAGGCCATTAAGTTTTATCTCGTAAATAGGATGAATGTAAATCAAATCTTGATGTCAAATGATATTTTGTTTTCCTTATGGTTTATAAATTAATTTTGATTTTATATACTTTCTAATTTTATTTTACTAACCTCAAAAAGAGATTTCTAGGAAAACTTTTTTTTTAACCCAGTGGCCTAAAAATTGTGTATCACTTTTCCAGTGAAGTATAGGGGAGAGATTTAAGATCAGAAGTTTAATTCATGCTGGAAAATATTGCTTTATTTCCTTTCCCTTAACCTGACATATAAACTGATGAAAATTAGCGGTCTTTCATGACAGATTAACGGTTGAATCGAAATGACTATGGAGTATGTTTGACATTCTATTTCCTCCTTGATGTTCATGATAATCATTATGTTAGAGATACTTTTTTACCTTTCTATTTAGATGTTTCCTGTGTGAATCCACCTCAAGTGGAAAATGCTATTATACAAAATCAGAAATCTAGATATCAAAGTGGTGAGAAAGCACGTTACGAATGCATCGGGAATTATGACCTCTTTGGAGGGATAGATGTCGTATGTTTAAATGGAACTTGGACAAAACCACCTCAGTGCAAAGGTAGAGTATCTTACTCACCCTGTCCACCCAATTAGAGAATATATTAAGAACAAAATATATTGATACAAAATTAGGGTGAAGTAGCTTTTCTGAAATCATTTTTAGTTTCAAAAAAAATGATGTTGAAAATCCAGTTCTTTTGTGGTCTGAATATTGTATGACAGTGTTGACCAGATTTGAGCAGTTGGAATCATGGGATATTTCCTGTCTTAAACATTAAGATAGTCAGTTGTTTTCTGAAGAATAAGTGTGTAAAAGATACCATAATTACATTTAACAGCCCAAGAAATTCCACTTTGAGACATGGAATAAGCAGCTGGGGCCTGATCACAAAATCTGACATAGATGTGGGCAGCTGTACCTGTGGATGATACTTAAAGGTAGGTTACTAGCTGAGTTCCAGCAGAGCTATTTAAAATCCTACAGGATGATGCTACAAAAGTGCTACACTCATTAATGTCAGCAAATTTGGGAAACCCAGCAGTGGTCACAGGAGTGGTCAATCCTCATTCCAATTCCCAAGAAGGGCAGTACTAAAAAATGTTCATATCAGCAGACAATTGCATGCTGTTTCATTGTAATTACATCTCCCATGCTTGTAAGGTTATGTTCAAAATCCTCCTAGTTAAGCTTGATGTGAACAGCTGATTCATTGAAAAAGACCTGAAACTGGGAAAGGTTGAAGGCAGACAAAGAAGAGGGTGACAGAGGATGAGATGTTCGGGTGATGTCACTGATTCAATGGACATGAACTTGGGCAACTCCGGGAGAGGTCAGGGACCCGGAAACCTGGCATGAGCAGTCCATGGGGTTGCAGAGGTTTAGACACGACTTGGCAACTGAACAATAACTAGCTGAACTCATTCAGGAAATTAGTGTACACAAAAAATAGTCTGAAATTTCCTACTTGGACACTTCAGTGTTTAGAGATCAGACAGGATGGGAATCCAAACCAAGAAGTACATTAGCCACTTCTAATATTTCAAGTAAACTTTTGCCTGGTGTGTAATTTTTGAAATCTCCACTTGAATATGTTTTCATGTTTGAAGGGACTTTTTTTTTAGACAACATACAGGTGAGTCTTGTTTAGGTGTCTGCTCTGCCCTTTTCAGGTTTTTAATTGATGTATTTAGGGCCATTTATATTTCGAGTGACTTATTAACTATTAGGGACATTCTGCCATTTGCTTATTTGTTTTGTGTGTGTTTCCTACATTTCTCACCATTTTTCTTTTCTTGCCTTCCTTGTGGATTTTTGAACATTATAAAATAATTTAACTTGGAGCTACATTGTTTTTGAGGATATGTCTTTGCATGGTTTTTCTAATCTCTCTAGGTATTAAGATACACATAGGTAGTTTACCACTCCCTACTGTTGCTGATATTTTACCACCTCAGATGAAATGTGGAATGCTTGCTTCCATTGAGATTTATTGGTTCTCCCCACATTTTTAACATAAATGTCTCTAGTACTCTCTATATACATTGAGCACCATATCAGATGACAATTTTGCACAAGTATAATAAAATCAACAGGAAAATCATACTATTATTATATTTACTCTTATTTATTTATTTATTTTTTAAAAAACCTCCATTCTAAAATCTCAATTCTTTTTCTATTTTGCTTTCTTTTGAAAAGTTCTTAAGTATAGTTCTGCTGGAGACAAATTCTCTCAGTTTTGCTTTGTCTGGGAAATTCTTTCTTTCTCCCTTTAATTCAAAAGGATAGTTTATAAGATATAGGATTTGGAGTTGACAGTTATTTTCATCCAGCTTTGGAAAAAAATGTTCTCATTTCTTCCTGGCTCTATGGTCATCAGTGAAATTTCCACAGATGCTTGAATCCTTTTTTCCAAATACATATTGCATAATATTTATTCATAAATAAGTATTGCATATCTATCAAGCTGCTTATGAGATTTTTTTTCTGTAAGTTTCAGGAATTTGATTATGATGCACCTTTTTTAACTTTTTATTTCGTATTGGGGTATAGCCGATTAACACTGTTGTGCTAACTTCAGGTAATCAGAGAAGGGACTCAGCCACACATATGCATGTGACCCTTCTCCCTCAAACTCCCTTCCTATCAAATCTGCCACATTACACTCCAGAGTTCCCTGTGCTATACAGTAGGTCCTTATTGGTCATCCACTTTATTATTATTTTTATTTATTTTTTCATTTATTTTTATTAGTTGGAGGCTAATTACTCCAATATTGTAGTGATTTTTGCCTTTCATTGACATGAATCAGCCACAGATTTACATGTGTTCCCCATCCTGATCCGCCCTTCAGCCTCCCTTCCCATCCCATCCCTCTGGGTCTTCCCAGTGCACCAGCCCTGAGCACTTGTCTCATGCATACAACCTGGGCTGGTGATCTGTTTCACCCTTGATAGTATACTTGTTTCAATGCTATTCTCTCAGAACATCCCACCCTCGCTTTCTCCCACAGAGTCCAAAAGTCTGTTCTGTACATCTGTGTCTCTATTTCTGTTTTGCATATAGGGTTATCATTACCATCTTTCTAAATTCCATATATATGTGTTAGTATACTGTATTGGTCTTTATCTTTCTGGCTTACTTCACTCTGTATAATGGGCTCCAGTTTCATCCATCTCATTAGAACTGATTCAAATGAATTCTTTTTAATGGCTGAGTAATAAAAATAGCAGTGTTTTCATGTCCACCCAAATTCCCTAACTATCTCTTCTCCCATCATTTCCCCTGGCAACCATAAATTCCTTCTCTAAGTCTGTCCGTCTGTTTCTATTCCATAAATAAGTTTGTTTGCAAAATTTCTTTTAAGGTTCCACATATGGGGATGTCTTACAATTTTTCCCCTTGTCTGTCTGACTAACTTCACTCAGTATAACACTCTCTAGGTCCATCCATATTTTTGCAAATGACATTATTTCATTCTTTTAATGGATGAGTAATATTCCATTGTGTATATGTACTACATCTTCTTGATCCTTTTCTCTGTTGTTGGACATTTAGGTTGCTTCCATATCATAGCTATTGTAAACAGTGCTGCAATGAACATTAGGGCGTGTGTTTCCTCTTAGACCAAGTCTTTCACCACATCCATGCCCAGGGGCAAGATTTCAGTGTCAAATATTATTTTTTTTTAGTTTTCAAAGGAGCATAAACACTGTTCTCCATAGTGGCTGTATCAACTAACAGTGTAGGAGGGTTACCTTCTTTCCACATAATCGCCAGTATATTGTTTGTGGATTTTTTGATGATAGATCTTTTGACTCATGTTAGGGGATATCATGCTCTAGTTTTGATTTGAATTTCTCTAATAATTAGTGATAGGAACATCTTTTGATGGGTGTCTTGGCCATCTACATCTCCTTTTTGGAGAGGAATCAAATACCTAGGAATAAACCTAAGGAGACAGAAAATCTGTAATCTGAAAACTATAGTATGCTAATGAAAGAAATAGAAGACAAAAACAGATGGAAGGATATACCATTATCTTCGATCAGAAAAATCAATATTATCAAAATGACTGTACTACCCAAAGCAATCTACAGATTGAATGCAATCTGTATGTAATTACAAATGGCAATTTTTCACAGAACTAGGAAAAAAACCTTAAAATTTGAATGGAGACACAAAAGACCAAAAATATACAAAGCAGTCTTGAGAAAGAAAAATGGAGCTGGAGGAATGACACTACCTGACTTCAGCTATACTACAAAGCTCTAGACATTAAAACAAAAAAAGGGTGCTTATTATGACATCAAGACTTACGAATCAGTGAATTGAAATGGACAGGAATGGGTGAATTTCATTCAGATGACCATTATATCTACTACTATGGGCAAGAATTCCTTAGGAGAAATGGAGTAGCCCTCACAGCCAAAAAAAGAGTCTGAAATGCAGTACTTGGTGCATTCTCAAAAACAACAAAATTATCGCCAATCATTTCCAAGGCAAGTCACTTAAAATCAAAGTAATCAAAGTCTATGCCCCACCCACTAATGTCAAAGTATATGAAGTTGACTGGTTCTGTGACGACTTACATTACATGCTAGATCGCAACATCAAAACAAAACAAAAAAAATCTCCTTTTCATATAGGGGACTGGAATGCAAATATAGGAATCAAGAGATACCTGGAGTAACATGCAAGTTTGGCCTTGGACTACAAAATGAGGCAGGGGAAAGGCTAAAAGAGTTTTGATGAGAGAAGACATGGGTCATAACAAACACCGTCTTCAAAAACACAAGAGACAATTCTACACATGGACATCATGAAATGGTCAGTACCAAAATCAGAATGATTATATTCTTTGCAGCCAAAGATAGAGAAGCTCTATACAGTTGGCAAAACCAAAACTGGAAGCTGACTGTGGCTCAGGTCATGAGGTCCTTATTGTGAAATTCAGACTTGAATTGAAGAAAGCAGTGAAAACCACTAGGCCATTCAGGTCCTTTATGATTATCTAGTGGATGGGATAAAAAGATTTAAGGGATGAGATCTGAGAGAGTGTCTGAAGAACTATGGATGCAGGTTTGTAACTTTGTATGGGAGGCAGTGATCAAAACCATCCCCAAGAAGCACAAATGCAACAATGCAAAATGGCTTTCTGAGAAGGCCTTACAAAGAGGTGAGAAAAGAAGAGAAGCAAAACGCAAAGGACAAAAGGGAAAATATACCCATCTGAATGCAGAATTCCAAAGAATAGCAAGGAGAGATAAGAAAGCCTTGTTAAGTGAGCAATGCAAAAAAAAAAAAAAATAGAGGAAAGCAATAAAATGGGGAAGACTAGAGATGTCTTCAAGAAAATTAGAGACAGCAAGGGAGCATTTCATGTAGTGATGGACAGAGTAAAGGACAGAAATGGTATGGCCCTAAGAGAAGCAGAAGATATTAAGAAGAGGTGGCAAGAGTATACAGTAGAACTGTACAGAAAAGGACTTAATGACCCAGATAACCACGATGGTGTGATCACTCACCTGGGGCCAGAAATCCTGGAGTGTGAAGTC